AAGATATTTTTAATACCTAGTGTGTGAAACACAATGTCTTACTTCCTCCGTCCAAGATTAATTGTCCTCTATTTGACAGACAAAGTTCATTACAATACCGACTTCAAAATCAGAAAGATTGGGTCCCCAAACTCTTAACTACCAATTTTCAAGAAAAAAGGTTAGCCCCGACCCCTCTAAGCAGCCCCCAAACTGCCCCTCGCTTTGTCCAAAAAAAAATGTGTGTTCACATTCCAGGTCCACGGGAGATCCCCGCGGCTCTGCGCTGCTCCCGTCCCAGTGTGAGGCACGGGGAAGTCGTTGCTCCCATCGCGGCGAAGCGTGGCATCAAGCGCGTGGAACTGGGCCTGACACACGCGCTCAAGCCTGTTGGGATCGTGATCGTAGAAGGCCGTTGTCACGGCGTCGACCACGTCCTGCAGATTTCCACCCTCCTTGATCTTTGATGCTTGGACTTGCAAGGGGTGGAAAAAGCCCAAGTCCAAAACGTTAAAGTCTGGACTTTGGGCTGGCTGCCGCTCCAAGGTTATGTTGTAACCTTCCTTGGAACATTCTGCCTCGATCTCGGCTTGAATCGATGACTTTATGTGCGGCTTGGCCCTATCAATCTGGATAACAATATGCTTCTTCAAGTGCTTGTAAGCATCTCTGATGGCAGGGAAGACGTTTTCCACCATCATATTTTTCCACACATTGCCATCTACTGAAACCAACTTCAATTCTGTCTCCCCGACAGCCTGATTCTTGTTGGATCGAGTTGTGATGCCCTCCCTAACAAAGGGCCAAATACCCACAAGTCCACCAAAGTGTGTCCCCTTTGGCTGCTTATGGGGCCGACCTACAGCAGCTAAGAATATCACCTTATTTATAAAAGCTTTGCTCTGTGCTTTGGGAGCACCAGGACGTCCATCTTTTGGCAGAACCCAGACCTTTTGGGCATCTTTCATCACATAGAACCACTTTTCATCGATGTGGATCGTGTTCACAAAATCCAGAAATTCCCACTTCCGACCAACTTTTCGCGTGTGGCTCACAATCCAACGCAGCCTAGCAAGTCTTTGCTCATGCGTAAAACACGGCTTGATCCACCTTCCCGACCTTCTTGCCCCCAAGTGCAAAAATATGGTCGATTTTGGCAAATCTGTCCTTGCAGCCATTTTGCGGATCGTTTGCCGCTTGATTGGGGAGATCGTCAACACTTTCGATCGCACCTCGTGGACAGCATTGGGGCGCCTCCCACAGTTGCCCTGACGGCAGCGATGGAGATCGAAAACTCCCGGCCCGGAAATCTGGGCCCGAAAGGCAGCTCCGATCCGCCGGATCGTCCTCGAACTGCAGCCATAAGTCGCGGCGAGTTCGGCGACCAGGCCCGCGGGAACACGTTTTCTGTCGCTTTGCCTCTTCATCAGGACTGCCCCGACCTTCAGTCTGAACGGCGTTGAAAGTTCTGTGTAGGCGGCCTTGTTTGGCCGCCGGGAAGGCGTGCCCCTCACCATCGCGAACAACGGCCGTTTCGGTAACTTCGTTGAAAAACGGCGGTTTTCTGGCCGGAGGTCCCCCCCACTACAAAGTACTACAAAATCTTCAATACTTAACGGATTGACTTCAAATTTTGACCGTGTACTCCAGAAACATAGGCTTACCTTTCGAATAAATTTCAGTGAAAAATAAATCGTTTGTGATAGGGAAGTAGGGCGCCAAATTCATAGAGGACAATTATTCTTGGACGGAGGAAGTAGAATCTTCTGGAATAAGGTTTTCATTTTATATGCTCTTTCAACTCTCTTGCTGTTTAAATGGCCTCACAGACAACCACCGTCTCCGCAAACTCATATTTAATTTCCAACATCAGCTATGTCACTGACAGCGTATCTACCATGCAAGCATCTCAATTGCTTTAAAAACGTGGCAAACTGCTTAAAATCGTGTATTCGCATTAGAAAATGAGTTCCATTGGAGTCAGTCGTGTAACCTTAACACTTCCCTTATAAATTTCATTGCAATGCCACACGCCGTTGCAGCTAGAACTGATTGGGTGTTATCAATAACTGAATGCATGAAAAGATGATGAAGCACTAGGAATTACATTAAGGATGTTGATGAAGGGACTGAATATGAAGGACAGAACGCCTGTTGACTTTTTGCCTCGGCTGCAAGCCGTTGCCGTTGACTCGAGCATGCAATTCCCGTTCAGGGATCGCCACCCCTCGATCCTGCCTGCCTTCGTCAACGCTTCATATTATGAAATATAAATTTATACTCATGAAAGCGTATATGAGTATATGTGTATAATTTGTACACGCATTTTTATTGCATTCGTTTATGTAAAATTTCCTAATGATGACGACCACGACCGCGACGACGATGACGACGATGACGACGATGATGACGATGACACCGTCAGGCGTGCACGCCCTGCATCCTGTTGAAAATTTTGTAAAAATAAACGGTTGGCTTACCCTGAATAGCAATCAATAAATATGAGCCATGGATTAACTTGAAAAGCACTCAATTAAAGAATTCTATACGTTGGGCTTTATATCCCCACAAGTTTTATTGGCAGCCTTGGTGTTCAATCTCTATCGACGCACAATGTCAAACTCAATGCATCCGAAATGCAGCGATGGAACTACCACGACGTATCCAAAACAACGATGTGCAGCTTCCCGTATATTTAGGTGCTCAAAATTTCACGCACTCGAGCAGCGGTTGCCATAAAATGCCCCAAGCATGAAATGGCTTATATGCTGGATACGCACTGAAGCAATGAAAGAACTGAACACACAGCAGCTGTGCACATTTTCATAATACGCCACAGAACTCAGTTTTTTAATGTCTGCGATAACCGCCACACACACACGTATGTGATTTCCTACATTACTGATATAGCGACGATCGTTGCTAATTCTCCAGTTGAATTGATTCCTATTAAAAGGACTTATTGCTGCTGTCAAATCACGATGAGTTGCTGAAACCCGTGTATTCATTGCTAGAGCCGCCCTCAGTCAGGGCCAATCGTGTACTTTTTTGTTATTTTTCGTGCCATTTCCACTGCCATGTGATACGTTGAGCATATGGTGACGCGTGTCATCCACAAGACGTGCACGTCTTCCATCCTGTTAAAAATTCGATCAGAGCTCACGATTATCTTTTCACATGGAAGGCAAACATTATAGATGGACTTTTGCTATCACAGTGCTGGAACCCCACAATGGGCTTTTCGCTCCAAAGCAGTTCATTGACGAGCCCTGGTGATCCATCTCAACCGACGCAGAGGCCCAGATGCAATACACATGTAATACATACGTCTAAGGCATTAGACATGCATTGACAAAACCCCCACAACATAATCAATAAAACGCTGTGCGGCTGCCGCACCGTTGGGTCGCCAAAATGCAAGGAGATTTTTCAATAGAGCAGGCAAAAATGAAATGAAAACAAAATGCGCATGATCATCAATGTTTTACTGAAGCTCTGAACGAATTCATTACTTGCCAACCTCCCAGCGCCTGCTGTTATTATGCATTATCATCAGACATAATGAAGTCTACACAACAATGCAAGTGGGTAGCCGTCAGCCTCCCATTTGCCGGAACAAGCGGCATACATATATGGCGTCCTTATATAATTATATAGGCGTACGCGTGGCGATTTTCTAAGTACCCCTACTGAGATGACCAGTTTGATGCTGTGTACTGTTAGCTGTTTGATTGGTTAATCTGATCTGTTGCAACCTTGTTCAAGTTGCTGAGCACGGCCTAGAATTAGTGAGTTAAAGGCGTACTTGTTGGCATGTTCCGTTGCATTGTCCAGGAGTCCACCCGGAGAGAGCCGCCCTTGCTGCAATCCCACAATGTACGATCCCCTGCTGTGTGACTAAGCCAGCACGGAGCCCTGAGCCGGGAACGGAGCCCTGAGCCGGGAATGGAGAACTGGGCCGGGAATTCATCATCAGTGAGCCATTTTAGTTGTGTACGTTCGTTTCGATGGAGTGCCAAGGCTGGAACTAAGGAATGTACTGGCGGGTATTACCGACTTCATGGTGTTTTACTGATTTATTTGATTTGAGTACTGGATCATTATGGAGAGACGTACTTGGAACTGAGCGTGATTGCATGGGACTGGAATCGCTTGCTGGGGGCTGAACTGAGCCGGTGTTCGCAACACCGCACAATGACCACCATTTCACTAGGTGGATCACTTATGCATGATGGTGTGCGACTTGTATACACGTCAAGAAGGTGGTTTATATGCGGGGGTCGTTGCCACCGTTGGAAAGGCTCTTCGTTGTAGGAAGGGTGAACAAATATGTAAGCCCTGTGCGTTTTGTGTGTGGCGTGGCCTTGCGTCTGGCCGTGCGCCACCCCGTTGAAGCATCGGCGATCGTGGATTCGCGCTTCCCGTGTGCACTCCAAAGGGGGCCGTTTGAATTGCATTAACGGCATTTCCTTCAAGACCGGTTTTATGGAGTGCATGATGGGTTGTACCAGGCTGGGGACCGGTGTTGGAGAACTTGAGACGTTTGGGGACAAGCTCAGGGGGGTCTGTACGGGGGATTGCAGCTTTGGAGGCTTCTCGAAAGGTGGCTAGGACTGGGGACTGGGACACCCTTTTAAAGTATAAATACGCACACAACATTCTGTAACAACTTCTTTCTGGGCCCACCATCGCTGCTACGTTTGTGACTCTGATTCCGAACTGTCCACGGACAGTTTGTGTGTCTGTGCCGCATCCCGTTTTGCCTGCGGGGAAGGAGGCGACCGCGGTGTTTCCCGAAGATCGGGACCGCATTTGATGCCCACCAGCTCGTTGTGGAGGCTGGTCCGGCAATTACGGCTCTGCAGCATGACAGGCCTGGTCTGCATCCGTTTGGCGCGGCTAAGGTACGTGGGTTACCGCCACATACGCCTAATTATATCGTGCTCCTCAACATCCTCGCCTGACCGCATCCGTCCAGCAACACAGCCCGCCGGCGACCGCGGCTCGCAGGGGGCGCCGCCATGCGCGCCCTTCGCCTCCTGACCCGCCTCCTGGCCGCCGGCGCCTCGAGCGCCTCCGCGCCCCTCCCCAAGCCCTCCCCCGCCTTTGATCAAATCCGCGTCCTTCTTGGCCGATGGCCAGCCCCGCGTGACCCTTCCCCGATACGCAATTTCACGGCCAGGTCGTATTTCCGGTCGGCGGGCTACCACCGAGGCTACTGGGGCAGTGGCAACGATGTCCTCTACGGGCTGCTGGGAGCGAACGTGGCCGTGTTTTTCTTGTGGAGGGTGGATCCCTACTTTATGAAGCGGCACTTCACGTGCTCCCTGGGCGCCCTCGAGGCGGGCCGGCTGCACACCTTTGTCACCAGGTGCTGAGCTGGATCGCGGCGACCGCGGTTGTGGCTGGATGGACCGAACTCTTCCCTGTACGGGCCCGACATCGCGAGTCTGGTGAATGGGCTGTTGCTGTGTCTTTTGACACATGCAATCGAAAGGGGGACTAGCGGTATGGGCTTCCCACGGTGACTTGTCTGCCTTACGAAGCGTAGTCCCCGTCAATTCAACGCGTGAGAAAGGAATTAACACAGGAATCCGGAATAGGATGAGAAAGGAGAACTTGATCAAGCTGCCAACAACCCTGCACCATGGACTGGAGGATCCGTTGTTGGGCTGAAAAGTTACAGCCTGTTCACTGTTGGCAAGGCCATTGTGCTTTGGGAAATGTGGGGCATTTTAGATCTTGATCCACCTTTGTGCTTGGTATTTTCATCCGTTAGGTCGGCAATGCAAGCCCACCTGCTCTTTTATTGGTCCAATTGTCACTGGAGTCTGTTGATGGAGACCGGTATGGAAACTGCCTGCGAAATTTTCTGTGGATGAAATGAATCCCTGAATCTTCTTAAGATGCAAAAGGAGTTGTCACTCATCGTGCTGAATATGATCAGTGCTGGGCACCGCTTCCCTGGCATCCCTTGCCAGGGAAGGGAACTGAAGTCACTGTTGACATATGCTCATGCTCTCATCTCCCCAACCCATTCACTGGACAATCTTCCTTGTGGAAATCTGTTCAGTGATGGCGTGAGCATGTTGCATCACAACACTGGATTGCACAGTTGCCTTTGCACAACCGTGCTGGGCATGTCCTCATTTTATCCCTGATTGTCTTGCACACATTGCCAGTTGTCTTGATTAGGAGGGTTTGCCCATCGTGTGCCATGTTTATCATTTTGTTGAATCGGCAATCTTCAGAAGTTGACCAATGTATCAGGCAAGGCTGCCCAACATTGCTCCAAGGTCTGCTTCAGCTGCACATCATTTTCTTGTTTCTAAATTGCAGCGCTTCATCATGTTGTGGCAAATGCAATAGAGACCTTTGAAATGCATCACAGGATATTCAACCCTTCCGCATCGTAATGAAGCATTGGCCTTTTTGGGTGGAGCCAAAAAAAAGCATGCAACACTGCCAAAATATAATGCACAGCAGCCAATAAAATGATGCCCTAAAAGAACACAAAAGATGCCAAATAAGTAGCACCAGGGATATGCGGAATGTACTTTGGCTAGTTGTTTGTTGGGCCTCTGCTTTGGTCACATGGTGCACGCATGTAGGGACATGTGGAAAGGTCAGCTGAAACTTTGCTAGTTTACCAGCAGATTGCATTAGCCAACCTGTGCTTGCTGGACACGATGTGGGACAGTGTAAAACAAATAATGGTCTGAAAGAAAATGGTGGAGCAAACCATAAGACTGAAATATTTTGATGCAGAAGAGTTGAATATACTGCAATATGTAGCCAGATTTCCACATCAAACGCAAATGCCATAAAATGCAATAAGATTCTGTAGTTTATAGCATATGAGCTCATATTATTAATTAGTATCAGATTCTGGTATTATTGTCTGTGTTATCAGGTTAATGTGTAATAATGTGGTATATGTATGTGTATGTATTAGATTGTTATTATAGAATACTTCCTCCACCCCACACTAATGGTCATCTATGACTTGGGCACATTATTTCTCCATCATGCAGATGTCAATTTTCAATGTAATTTTGCCCAAAGTTGTGCATGCGATTTTGGAGTATGCAGTGAGAAAATTAAGTCGATGCATTGAGTACTGAGGATTGGACAGTGCTTTAGAGCAAGGGTCCTTAAGCCAGAAAACCACGATTATTTGGCTTGGCTGCAAAAACAGCTGTTTTCACTGTTTTAAGGAGCACAAATTTGTGGCAGCAAAACTAAGCCGCCCATGCAATACTATCCACCCCTTTTACGTGGGGGGTCACCCGATCTCTGCAAAGAGGTATGGTACCAAAAAGACACTTTTCGAAAGTGTGATCATCAAACTTGCCATGGCATAAGGCTGCAATTCGAGCTTCCAGCAGACCGGGGCTATGTTCGAGACCCAAAATTCTGGGCTAGGACTTTTTGGCCTCCATTACCACTGTCAAGGCAACTGTGGCCTCGCAAACCCCTCAACAAGGTGCGAGAGATGGTGATGGCCATCACCCCTGTTAATAGCAGATAAGCAGTCAATTGGCCAATGTGATGGCAGCTGCCAAGTGACCTTGTTTCGGCACTTGAAAGGATTGGGGCCTAGGTGAGTGGCTACAACAGCAAAGTCGTATCTCTTGAGGTAATCAAGACCTACCAGGCTGCAATGGATTGTGCCCCCAGCACAAGAATCGGCTGCTAGGGGCCATTCGAGGATTCTGCGCAGGGCTGCTCACAAAACTTCGATTCAGGCATCAACCAAGGTGGAATATCCAGGCACGGCTGCAAAACAAACTTGGAGAGAAAGCTCACACTGAACCCAGCCTTTGAGTTCTTGGATCTTGGCCTTTTCTGCATAGTAAAGGTCTACAGATTGGAGGTTGAGAGCATCATGGATTTCCAGAAACATCATTACTGTGGCAATAGCCACCTTCAAGATGGATCCAAACATGATTGAGTGGTTTGGTGAGAGGTACACCGTGTGCTGGACGCCCCCTTCACCATGATAGTGGCAACAACTAGCATTGCCACTGGCAAGCGCAGGAGCGGCCCAGCATTGAGGGGTCCTCTGAGAACACAGAATGTGAACGAGCTTTGTTTGGACTGACCCAGGGCAATTTCGGAGGCTGGTCACAAGGGAGCGCTGACTTGTTTCCCTTGAAAATTGGAACCTAATGGTTTCCAGACCCAATCCTTTCGATTGCAGGCTTCTTTTGTAATTCAGATGCTGTTTCCATGGCGAAATTTCTTTTTCCAATAGACTACAATCTCTGTATTTTTGTACTAGCTATCCATGACAACTTCAATCAGATGTATACCAATCTCTGCATGTTCTGATTTTTACCCTGAGTTGCATCTCATTGACATTTGGCAGAGCACTTCACCTCACTGAGCTGAACCCATCTGTGCACTTTAATTTGCATCATGATTGAAAACGAATTTGAAGGAACTGTGTGTTTGTGGCCAAGTTGCTTTTCACACATCGAGTTGGGGCACCTGGCTGCCAACATGCTGGGGCTGTATTTCTTTGGCAGGAATGTGGCAGCCTACTTTGGCCCAAGGCAGGTGGGTGGTTTTCAAATTGCTGTCATCCATGCATCAACACTGCTGCCAGAGAGGACAACAAATCAGTAGCCAAGCTAATCAGTGTTGTCATGTATTCCACTGGGCAAGAATTTGGTGTATGAAAATCAATGTCTTGCCATTAGTGAATTTGCATTGTACATGAAATTGCCTACTGCCAGTCGCCAATTTATCAATTGATAGAATGCCACTATGGTTGCTGCTTAGACGGCAGGAATTGATGCCTGGCATCATTCATCAGTTGGCAAACAGTGACAGAAGCACAGTTCTCTGGGATGATACAAAAATAGCACAAGCGCAGTGCCCACACGCTGGTAGCAGGATGGCGCAAGGGCAATGCCCACCGACTAGAAATTGTTGCGTAATTGACACAGTCTCTGTCCACGTTAGTCAGTGTTCAGTTGCTATAGTTTGTGCATTACTCTAACGAATAATGGTAATGGCAACAACTACTATGTAATAGTGGTATATGCTATTTCCCAACTTCACCACTGTAAGCTGTTCTTCATGGATGCATACAGTGTACTCTCAACCCCATATGCTTATGGGATGAGTTTTTGCAACAGTGGCTTGTTGTGATTTCACAAGCACACCTTTGTGATATTGCTCTCTGAAGTGGGGCAGTCTGGATGACGATAGGTTCCAAAGTATTCCATTGGTTTGATGATTCTAGATGTAACATGTTGCACTCAAAAGATGTTGTACAGTTTGTCAAGCAACCAATTCCAATGTGCGTTTGCTCCCCAGTTGTTGAACCTGTACATGGCTGGTGGGGTCCTATCCATGATGGCAGATGTTGGGCTTCAAGCCTACAACAACAGAGGTATGGCAGAGCTCATTTATCACACTGCATGAGCCAGGACATTGATTCACCCCGATTGATCGTTTGTGGTGACGTGTCACAGTCAACACTGATTCTTTATGAGCACACACTTGCTATAGAGAGACACCAGCATCAGCCTTTCAGCACACAGTGGGTGCCTAGACTCGCTTCGCTCATTGAAGTAAATATGAATAACAAATCATGGACGTATGTGATCGCAGTCCCTGCATTTTCTTGAAAAGGCAAGGGAAGGCACTATTTTGATTGCAATTCTTGCATTTTCTTTAAACAGCAAGGGAAGGCCCTATTTTGATTTGGGTATGCTTAGCACCCATTCGATGCCAAGAGGCGTAGTTCAGGAAATGGATGCTAATAGATTAGGTAACTGCACTAACAGCAAAATAAGATGGGAAATTGTGCAAAAATGCCATTGTTTGGCTGTAGGCAGTTCATGAGTTGCTGCAAAACTCTCTCAAGCTTTCAATATTTGAGGAGACCCCCATGATGGATCAATTTACATTGTTTGGTTCCGTCACCTGTCATGGCTTTTAGCATCCCATTTTCAACCCGCTGCAATCACTACAGCTTTGGCAGCTTGCTTCCCTTAAAGCACCTTTAACTTGTACCGCACTATTAGGTAATGTTGCTGATTCATCCTGGCATTGAAATAAGGATTGGCGCTAAGGAGGGGGGGAGGGGGCCTCTGTGCTGAGCATCTACTTGATGCTAAATGTACTGAATTCAACATAGTGTCTTCCCTAAGAATACATGTGTACAATGACCTATGGAACGAATGACACCAGAGCCATGGCATTGGTGCTATACCCTGGGTGGAAGAGGGACTAATTTAGCAATTGCTCCGGCATTGAATGTTTGGTGACTTGTTGAAAGGTGAGCTTCTATAGTTATGTGTAATTATTAGTTGGCACATCTAGTTTATTAGTCCATGGCCATTTCCACAACTGTTCATTCCACATTACCTGCACTGATATTCACTTTTAGTTGCAACTAAGCTCCCCACCAATAAGTATAGCAGCAGTTACTCTGTTGGTTGCTAGCCTTCTATTATCTGCTTTATTGTTACCTTGCTCAGTGATGCATTGAGTGAGGTTATGCATGTTGTTGATGCAATCGCCTTATAAATGGTTCTTTGTCATTCTTAGCTATTCTCATCAGTTCGTTTTGTTGAGCACTTCCCAAATTTGAACATTCAAACCTTGATCCTAAAGCCCTGCCATGCGCTACCATAAGGGAAGATGTTATGTCGATTTGTTATGCTTAATGTCAATTTGACATTACGCTCAGCTGCCCCGCCCCCATTCCCCCCTCCCCCCCCACGTCGAATTGATACTAAGCATAACAATTTGGACATAGCGTCTTCCATTATTGAGGCGTGGATGCCCATCTCAATTTGTTTTAATGTTCTAAATCTTAAAATCTTATATTATGGTTGTTTACTTGACTTTTGATCCCTCTGCTTGTGGATTTTAGTGCAAGGAGGCATGAAATGCAGCAAGTTCATGTGTCAATTCAGCATCATTAGTTGTGACACATTATGTAAGATGTTAGAAACATGATATTGGATGCATGGAGATTGAGTGAAACATTAATTTGAGACATATTTTTCACTCCCGAATGAAATGGCACTTATGAACTACAACTTTAGAAACATTTGAACCTGGTGTAGACTGCATAGTCAAGGGTCTCCACAATTTGTGGATGGACAGACCATCCACAAATAAATGGACAGAAGAGGCTTCATCTCTGCATGACCTCAAATTAGCTAACTCACAGATGGACGGACTGTTTGTCTATGAATTAACAGACGAAGGTGTTGTATTTCGTCCATACTCACAAGGTAATAAAAGTCCGGCTGCTAATTCACACATGGGACGTGGAGACACCTGTGCAAAATGCATTGTGGAAACACTTTGAACTTGGCGCATTGCATGTTGCAAACTTTGCAAGAACTCTGTTCATTAAGGAGGATGCAGTGGCATTTTGAAATGTTGCATGCCAGTCAAAATTCTAGACATTCTCAAGGTGATTTGGTAATTTTGGGAACATACCATCTGTCTGCCTGTGGACAATGCCTCATTTCACGGACTGCCACTGACCAAGAAAGGCAAAATTCAGGATGCACTTCCTCCTATAGTGAGGTCACGAATTCAAGGCATTATGGCAAGTCACCAACACGCCCAGAACACTGTGGCTTATGAGCTCACCATGAATAGGCTGAAACTCAGGAGATGTATCTATTGGAAAGGTTCACAACTCTGCTTATGGGACAACAATCGTGCCCAGGGAAATTGAGTGTACAACAACAGAAAATAACGAAGTGTGGTGCCCACAAATGAAAAACCACCAACCAACCCCACCCACCCAACCCCCCACCCACTCGTGAGGTGGTGCCCAAACAGTGACGATTCCACGATGTCCTGAAATCGCGATTCTGGAAATGCTGAATTGGACCCAAATCTCAATGTTGTGTTTTGCACCAGCAGATTAAGCAGCTAGGTCTCCAGCAGGTTAAAAGAGGATCAAATGCACTGAAACATGACAAAAAGGCTGCAAGATTAGGCTTCATCCATGAAAGGATCCTTGCTATGGATTCAATTTCAGTTTTTTGCCACAATTGAAGGTTTTGACACATTAACATCAGATGCCTCCTGTCATCTCATTGCACCACTAACAAACGTATGCAAAGAAAATGAATTTTTGGGCTACCTTCTCCATTGTTCATGCAACAACCTTCCTGGCGAATGTTCATCAAGGCAAGAACTGAATAACATGCAATCAATAATATTGTTCGTTTATTTGCATTCATTACTCATGTAGTGCATATCTGTTGCTTCATGGGGACAGGAAGACAGTTAAACAGTGTTTAAACTCTAAATTGGTTTAGCACTTCTGCTGATGCAAGATTTTCTGCAAGCTAGCACGATTCAGATAGAAAATAGGGTTTTGTGGAAGTTTCCATCATTTTGCCTGTTTAATTATGTTGTTGGTGCATACTGGGGCTGGATTTGACACCGGGTTCTGGTTGTTCTTCGGCCAGGCAGGTGGGGGTCCTGGGGAAACGACAGGGTGGTTCTGGGTGCTAGTGGAGCGGTGAACGCCATTGTGACATTCCAGATCCTGAATTTTCCAACAGAAATCATCTACCTGAATCTCTTCATACCTGTGCCAGCGTTTCTAGTTGGTCTACTTTTCCTCTTCCACGACTTCCTGGGGGTCATGCGCCAGGTGAGCTTCAATATCCACCTTCAAAACCCATCTTTGTGAAAGAGCACCAGACCACAGCATTGGACTTGTAATAGAGCACTGGGTTTGTTGAATCTATTACATGTAGGCAATGTATTGAGCATTGCACTATTGCAGGTGGCCATGACGTAAACACGTTGCCCTCGTTCAGAAAGCATTAGAAGATGTATATTGAAAATGCAAGAATGCTCCAATCGCGGCATCGGGGTGAGGTTAATGGCCTCCAACAGATGAGTCCGAGTTTATTGACTAAACTCGCTTCATTGTGCACTGCACCGGCCGATGGTATGAAGTGACAGTAAAGGACAATGCAGTGCACCCTACGCACGATTTGGCACAGTGAACTTGTCTCACGGAATCGTTCGTGATCAATTGGTAGCTTTCCAGAAGTATGTGTCCTGGGCAAACAACATCAGTTTCTCAAAGGTTAGAGAGCAGAGAATCCAGTGTTGGCCATCCCAAAGGGGTTGCAACTGCGATTTCCTCAAAGACATTGGGCATGTGAAAACATTCTTAATTGTAAGGCCAGTTGGACATGCCCATTCCTTCCCCAAAACCCACACCCTCGCTCAACCATTGTTATTTGTGTAGCACTCAGATTACTGGAATATTCCGGTGTGGAATCCATCCTTGAATCTGGCAGCCAGGACTTTATATAGTTAGGTTATGATACTCATGCTATTGAAGTTTGCTCGAATCTTCCAGTTCCTACAAGAGTATTTAAGCATGCCTTATTCCTTGTCAGGTGCCACCATTGTGGCAATCTTGATCGACTTTGATGTGTACTGAGAATGCAAATAAGTCCCCAAGGGCGTTTGGAACCAATTTTGCTGTTCCATGCTAGTTGACATGGCATGGGGAACAACATGCTTTGTCCCAATGGGATTTGCTGTCTTAGCGGTGTTCATGAAACTTGCAAGAGGTGCTTGGGATCCCCATGAGGGTGGTTCCTAATGGCACACGCCCTCAGTGTTTTGCTTACTGATTTTATGTAGTCGATTTGAAACCTAAGCGTTGTACCGTGTTATTTGACAGCTTGATTGTGTGGACAATCGAAACTCTGCAGGATGCTGCATTGCCTCACACTGTTAATTGGGGGAACCTAAGGCGAATTCGTTATTGCTGCAACGGCACATGAATTTGCATGTTGAATAAGTTGTTGTTTGGACGCAACATCTGGATCCTGATCCAACTACAGATATACGAAGAGAATTGTAAATGATACATGATGAACACCAGCAAGTAAATAATCGTGGCGAGAGTGGAGTGAGACATGCAATTTGATGATGAAACGCACAGAGCTGAAATTCAAATCAAAGAAGTCAGAGTTTCAGAAAGGATTCAAAACTGGAATATTGGTTTTTTGGAGGGACCAAAAATTGTATGTGGACTTTTGCTAACGAGTCGCTTATTGTCACAGCTGCAACTCACTACAACAATTTATGTTGAATTTTGTGTACAGGTGGACGATCGTGTGTCGCACAGTGGGCACCTTGGTGGCATGGCAGTGGGCTTGGCATATTTTGTGAAAAGACGATATTTTTAACGAATTTGCTTTTGGGCTTTTGGGCTTTTGGGCTTTTGGGCTTTTGGGCTTTTGGGCTTTGGGGTCATTACTCGATGCCACACTTGGGTGAATCCATTGATTGAACATCGAAAACGGGCAAAGCGCTGCATTCGCACCTACAAGCCAGTGTCGGGCGCAAACAGGAGTCACCATGGCATAGGACCTTGGCTTGTCTATCACCCATCGACACAACAAAATCGC